AAAGGTATTTGTATTTAAGCAAAACATAATCAAGACAAGCCGGTACCGACCGGTATACCGATGACCGGTATACCGGCCGGTACCGGTATGAAATTTGTATACCGGTGGCCGGTACCGGTATCGCAATTTTGATACCGGTTACTGTGCAACCATTCCATGCGCTTTTCATTGCAGTGAAACAATGATTTTTGCTTTTGCTGTATTAAGATAAATAAATCAAAAAACACAGACAGAATACTATTTCTCCAAAAAAAAAGTAGATCATGAGTTAGTCTGACAACGTGAAAACAAAACGAACGTTTAACATCTTAATTAAAAAATGTTTATAACATTTGATTGTTTGGTGAATTGAAACTAGAATTCAAATGTTTTAAAACTATTCGAATACTTCATAAGATGTTGATAGGCTTTTAGAATTAACAGTTTCACTGTCCATGTAACATATATGATCCAGATGACTCATTTTCTAGCGCTCAAGATGATGATAAATATAACGTTTCTCGAAGAACCGCGTATAACCATTTCGTAGAGCTCGATGAACTCTATCAAATTATATAAAAATTAGAAAAAATTGTTGAACAGATTTTGAGATATATAGGGCCAAACTTACAATGGCCAAAAGCTAAATGAATCATCTATGATACACGGACAGTGAAAGTGTTAGAGATATGATTGTCCAATTATCATTGCGTTACCAAGTAACCGGTAACAGTCAAATTACCGAGCAACTAGTCAAGCAGAAATTACTTTTTACCCAGTAATTAGTAACAGAAAATTTCTCGCTTACTCAGACAACTAATGATAAATTCCTACGGCTGATACGATGACTAACGAGAAAAGGCCCTTCTTGTTGAACACTAACCTTTTTATAACTATAAATAAAAATGAAATGTCGGAAGCTTTCGTTAAATGACATTCATTAATATTCCTATGCTGATAAATGCCATCGATCCCATCGATTCACTAAGTCCATTGCCTGTAAGTCGAATGAATGCACTGTCGGTATTATTATTCATTCTGTTGTAACTCGATCTTGTTACTAAAGAATTGATGCATATTTTTTGCGATGAGAACGTCCATATTTTCCACCTTAGTTTACAGAAGCAGTTGATTTAGCTTTTCACCGGTCAGAAACGTTTACCAGAGTGAGTACGTGTTTCGAAGCCAAGTATGGAATAGAAGTCAAGTCTATCAGGTCAGCATGAGTTCACGAGTTAAGTGACTCTCAAAAGTTTGAAAGCGTCATAGCGTTATTTACTCAATTTGTGTAGTTCATCGAGTCTCTGTAATCTGATTTAGTTTTATCTGACCCCCAAAGAACCCCAGAGGTCTAACGATATTTCGAAATTCCAGACAATGCTCACGCGTTCCTTCGGTCCGTATAGGTGTTACACGCCTCTGCTTCCACAGAAAACCCCGGACGCACCTACCCATGTGGATTTTTGTCCGTGACACTCATTAGTGATTCTGCGTATGTACGTCCGTCACACCCACTGGTCACTATATTAAAGCGTCACAGCGTTATTTACTCTGTAGTTCATCGACTCTCTGTAATCTGATTTGGTTTTATCTGTAAAACAGAGTTTCGAATAGACGTAATATTACCAAATCTCTCAGTCTTCTTATCCTTGATAACGGAACCTAAGTAGGGGTAACGTTTGGCATAGTTCGCAGAAACAACGCTTACACCTCCCTTCGCCTAGTGTTCGGTAGGGACTATCTACAATGCGTTATGAATATTTCTCTGATTTGATGTGTCCGCTTCATAATGCAGTTTAAATATATAAAAGTCACCCGAGACCCCCCAAAGAACCCAAAAAGTCTAAGAATATTTCTGAATTCCAGATAATGCTCGCGCGTCCCTGACACTCATTAGTGTCTCTGTGTATGTGCCTCCGTCACACAACTACATGACCATATGTATGTAGATCCGTCATACTGCTACATAACTATATGTATGTACGTCCAAACACACACACACACACAAACACTTTGAGTTTTTAGTATGACCATAGGCTGACAGTCAATGGAATAAATGTCGTCTGAAGTTAAATGTGTAAATATATGGAGATGTGTTTTTTTCCAGAAATCGGTAAGTCGCATTTTCCTGCGCGGATGACTTTCAGCAATATTCTCTCTTTATTTGTCAACCAGAACTTTGTTATAAGATTAATAAAAAAAAGTGTCAATAAAGAGTCTTCTGACTTTTGATACGTGGTTGGACAGATAGGTCAGCGGATTTACGTGGAACAGGTCACGGAGTGACTCGCATAACAAGCTAAACATTATTACAGAGAAAATATATTAGATTAAGTATATTGAGTAGCGATATATTTCTGTTGTTCCTCGTTGCTCTTTTATCAATAAATGAATAAAATGACAAGTCATGGAAAAGTTCGACTCTCATCTACTTTAATACAGATGTTACGAGATAATGCATCTAAACTACTGAAGTTGACGCTTCTTTTTTGACTGTAAAACAGCACGAAGTTAGTGTATTTTCGTAGTGCGGTGCTTTCGATGATAGCAAATACGCCTTCGAAAAAGAACAGAGACTCTGGAATTACAATTTTCAATGGAATCTGTGAGCAGGGTTGGTCATCCTATCGTGTAATGGCTCATAGGCGTAAGGTATCAATTTTATTTTACTTTGATTCTTTTTGTTTTTATTTTTGGCAGGATAGCTACGAAAAAGTTCTTACCGCTTAGCGACGAAAATAAAGAAATTTATTTCTAATGCTTTCTATTTATTAAATGAATAACAAGCAGTGAGTTTTTTTACATTTTTAAACATGCTTTTGTTTGTAGAATAAATTAATAATAAAAGAATTTTTTGTTGATACACTTTAGTCAAGACAAAAGAAAATGTACTAACATAGAATTTATTCAACAAAGACAAAATCTTTTTTCTTCTTTGTTTGTTGGTAAAATATATCAAACAGGTAATAGAAACAGCAGAACGAAATATTTTCAATATGAAAGCGTCATCAATACTTAAAATTTTACACAACAGATTGCGACAAACTCATATTGACTCAAGTCAGCGTCGTCAAGAAGAGATAAGTAAAAATATTTCATTCGTAGCGCGAACACGTGAAGTATTTTCTATGTAGTTGTGCGAGTATTAAGTGTTAAAAAATTTTTTTTCTGAAAAAATTGTGCCAAACATAAGATCGTCAAACCAAACATTTCAGAATAATGGGGTCGCCCATTCTTTATGGACAAAAGCGCGCATTAGTCATTGGTATCAATAATTACCCACGTGAATCATTGAATTATTGTATCAATGATGCTAATGATCTAGGAACAACTCTTGAAAGTATCGGTTTCTGTGTATTACCCGCACTGGACTGCAATTTTAGTAACCTCTACCATATGATAGATACATTTGCTGATACAATTCTACGTGATGATTTAGTTTTATTTTATTTTGCTGGTCATGGTAAGCAAAGCAGTGATGAAAATTATTTGTTACCATCAGATTACAATTTTGATAATCGAGGGAGCGAGCGTGATTATATCGTAAATAATGCTATTAACGTCAAATATATAATGGAAAAAATAGATCGTAAAAAATATCGGGTCGCGATCTATTTATTTGATTGCTGCAGAAATAGGATACGGACTCGAGCAATCAATACAAGCCAAGGTTTATTACCGATGATTGGATCATCACAAACTCTCATCGTGTTTGCTTGTGCTCCCGGCAGCGCAGTACAAGATGAAACACGAAATAATAGAAATGGTAGTTTTATGGAAAACTTGTTAAAACACATCACAAAACCCAATAAACATATCGAAAAGATAATGAAAGATGTTGCTGATGATGTTAACTTACAAACAGGTGGTTTTCAATTACCACATCGATCAAGTTCAATCTCGGGGAAAGTCTTTTTAGTGTTAAATAACGATCAAGGTCAGGATGTTTTCTTTTCCAACTCGACTAATTCTTCCATTTTGAGGTAGAACAAAATTCGTGTTAAGTTAATCAGTATGTGCGAAGAAAGTCACTTTTTCGTTCAAAAAGTGAAAATTAAGATAAATACATGGAAGGATAGCCTGATTTCTACTCTTTCAGAAACAACATGATTTTTCATTCGATATCCGCTTTTGAACCAAATTTTTGATAACTTCATCTTCAACCTCGTAAAAAAACAGGCTTTTTTCAGGAAAAACGGAGAATGTTTTGTGTTTTTTTCTCTGGTCGAGCAACCCAACTTTTTCTGTCCAAGCTCATGCAATATATTTAAGTTTTTTGTTTAAAAGAACATGTCAGAATACAGGGCACCACAAAAAGCTTAGTTTTTATTATATATACAAACATTTGTATAAATTCGCACCCATTTCTAGAGAGTTTTCTGAGACCTTCAACTTGTTACTCTTTTTTTCTCAGATAAAAAGTAATATTTTTAAGAAAAGCACTTCGTTGTGCCCTGCATTTCGATATGCTCTTTCAAACAACAAAAAAATTCTAATATATAAAAGGAGCCTGGACAGAGAAAATGGGTTGCCAAATGAGTTATTTTTGACCCTTGTTTGTTGAAAATCACCTTCAAATATCGTACTATAGGGCTGTAAATTTTATCACGGCCTCTCCACTTGAGTTTCAACCTATCGGTTTTATCTAGAGCGTTACCATAAAGGTGCCTTTTGAAAGCAGAGACTAACTTCTACGTCTTGCTCTGTTTATTTTACATCGTTTGTTTGAGCAAAGTTGTCAGTGATTTTCGATGTCTTCATTCACATATTTTCAAATTGGTTGCTTTCTGTTTTTATTGTTCTGTCATAGAGATCTGAAGGACATAGAATTTTGCAACCTGTAACTTATCTTTCAACAAGTAATAGAATAATATCAGTTAGACTAGACAAACGCGTAATAAATTCATCTAAATATCAAATCGATGACATGTGAACCAATTTGCCTTCTGGTTGAACTAAAATGATATTCTTATATTCAGGTAACGACATTAAAGGCTGTAACAATGTCGTTAATTGTTACTTTATGACCAGCGTTCGGCAGGTCTTAATAAGTGATTGATGAAGTCACACGTTGGACTAAATATATAATCAACCGAATTATTCTCGATTCTACTTACACCAGTCCTACTTAAGTAATATCTAAGTGTTGTAAAACACAAAAGAAATCTGATCGGTTATGTGCTTAGTACAATCTATGACTGTTTCAGCCATTCATTCAAATCAGTAGAACAACACTGTTATAGCCTTCACGTCGTCTCTTGAATTCGAAAGTATCACTGAGCTCCGCTATGTAGAATTTAACGACAGATATTTTGGAACCAAAAGTACGTTTACAGTATATATTGTCTCAACCAAAGACAAGTAGACGTATATATTATCTATTTGATGTTTACCTGAATTTATTTCATCTATAATCAATATGGCCTGTTATACAGTTCATGATTGAGAGTCACGTTTGATTGCAACTCCGACCAGTTGCAGACCATGTTTATCCGAAACTCTAATTTAATTCAGTATATCTTTAGTAGAAGCCGCGAAACAATTGAAAGTTGATCGTCAACTTGGACCACAGGTCACGAACAAACACTGCAGGTCTAATAGCAAACTCATTCATCGAAATGACAATACATTCAGAAGTCCGAGTCGCTCTCATGAATACTCTCCAGCTTTTTGTACTTCTGACGACCACCGTGTGTCAATGCTCAGTAATCAGGTGGTGGAATTAAAAAATAAAATGGATCCAGGCTCGCCATTTATCAAATCTTCAAGAAGATCCGTTTCAAATAAACAAACACCCTCTGATTGTTTCGTACCACTCCAACCAAAAGAAGATCCTCCTAGGTTGAAAATCATTGATCAACCACATGGTCAGCGTCTACCTTCAGTTAACAATTACGACATTTTCACGACACCAAGATCGGATACTAATCAACTCCACTATAATCCTACTCTAAGACAATCGAATGAAAACCGCTCTACTAAGGTATATAGTTCACCAAAAACACATCCTTCGAAATCCTGTAAAGATGAAGAACATGCTTATGATAGTGATGGATTATCAAGTTCAGAAGATAACGAAGTCAGTGATGATGACGTACTACTAACCTATGGGAAAATTTTTTTGAAAGGTAAGGGCAATCCAAAACCAGTTCCTAACCTCACACAATCGATGCACTCTGATTTTGAAAATAACTCAAGTCTTACAGCATTAGAAGAACCTGTGAAATCCTCTCAAACGACAACTATCAAAGCAAGACATGAGACTGTCGATTCATCGACAAGTTTGGACAACATAAAATCATTGGTTGTTCATATTCGCACTTTGTTTCAAAGACATTGTGTCAAAATTTCCAAGAATACCACCATGGAAGATTTAATAAATATAATCTGGTGTGAATTACAATTTGATATGGAACGTTACGCAAAAGACTCTCACATTCTTCTTCTTTTTAATCACCGACTTCACATATTTGTTGAAAGTGATTCCAACGCGTTAGTAAAGGATTTTCTTTCACTCTCACCGCTTTCACGTTCACCTACAAGGGAGGCAACAGATTTCTATGTCTATGGATTACCTCTGCAACGTGCTTCTTCTATGTACAAATTTGATAATGATTACATTTCACTTTTTGGCAATCCAGACTCATGGTGCCCTTCAAATCTTATCGGCTATAAACAATCGGAACGATCTCAAAGCATCCTTCTGAGTAGCCTATATACCTTACGACTGTATTTTAGACCGGAGACTAGAGAGTTGATGGCCAAACAGCTTGCCATGGAGGCACAATTTTTTCTCGAGCTGAGAAAATATTTATTTCCACCAGCTATCCTTGCGCTGAAACATGCAATCATTGGTTTCATGTTTTGGTTCGAAAAAGCTCTACTTATCGACGCATTGATACAGTTACTTACTCGATTATGTGATCCGGAGACAGTTTTTCCAGCGGAAATTTGCGATTTTATACCGTTGCTAATCTGTTGGCTTCTAGAGAAATGCGATCCAACTGTAGAGAAAGAAGACTGTTTTCGGGAAGTGAGGCTAATCAATGCTCAAAAATCCCAATGGTCTTATTTTCAAAACCCTGTAACAACGTCAAAAACCAAGCGACAAGCACTTTTATTAGAAGAGTTTCAAGAGGTAAGCGATTACAATGATCTGCAATACCATGTCGATATTCGATCGTTAACATTATATTTATCAAGACTGACTAAAACGTCTCTCAACAGTGTATGTAAATGCGATGATTATGTTATATATGATCCAATGCTTCAGGACGTGCCCGTATTGGAGCCACTTGAGCGTTGGACAGAAATTCAAATAAAAGAGCTGTATAAGAGTATAGCACGAACACGAGACTACCGTTCATTCAGTATCATAACACGTGGTGATGTGACTGCTCATGTTAAAAACCAACTTGTTCTGTTACAGAAAGATCGTACAGTGGCAATACTTTTTTCACCAAAAAACGTGATACGTTCTGACGGAAGAACGGCACAAGATGTTGATCATTTTTTCGAAATTTTCGATCCTCTCCAATGCACAAAGGACACATCATATCTTGTTGTGGCATCTGATGCGTTTCTGGATGAAGAAAAACAATTACCAGATCCTCGCTTGCCCACATATTTCAATGACAGTTTCAATATTATTAAAACCAATGCAAATTTTTCATTAGATGATAATATTACTGTTCCAGCATACCAAATCACTGTAATTCTTCTTGATCGTAGTCGATCGATGTCCGATTACCGAATTGCATCTTCTGACAAAGTGAGGAATTGTTCACACATCGATATCTGTAAGGTAATGTTAGGCAGACTGAGTGATAACATACTTTCCGCAGACGTAGTTCATGCATTTGGTCTGATTGAGTTCGCAACAAAGTATAAAACGGTCTGCCCAATTACTCGAAGTCGTGAACTGTTTGATAAAGCACTCACTTTGGATGAGTGTAGCGGAGACTGGACATGTATGTATGATGCTATTCGTGAAGCGATAAGGCAGATAAAAACATTCGCTGATAGTCCAATGCGAGCAAGAAAAGATTGTAAAAAACTGATTATTTGTCTTTCTGATGGTATCAATAACTCTGGTGATACAACAATTCAAAATTTACATGATCTAACAAAGAGGAATAGTATCGTGATTGATCTTATTTCATTCGTACGCGATGATCAACTGAAAAGACAGGAAGAAGTTGCTAAAGCTCGACAGTTTCGTACACTTTGTACTGATTCTGGTGGTTATATCTATCAAAACCTTCATGTGTTATCAGACATTGAACTTGCATCTATCTTTGAGCAAGAAGCTGCAGTCTGGCTTTCAAAGCGGTCCAAAACATCACATGGTACTATCGACAAGCCGGAACGTTATATTCCTCCAAATTTCGAGGAATCAGCAATTCGTCAACCATCATCAAACAAGAACATACAAAGTTCATCTCGTTTACGTCGTATTTTGAATGAGTTCCAAGCAATGTTAAGTTGTTCGTCAGAAAATGTGACTATTTTCGCTGTCTCCGACAATATTGCCTTTTGGAAAGTGATCCTGAAAGGACCCGTAGATACTCCTTACCAAGGAAGATTTTGGATGTTATATGTTGAATTTCACGCACACTATCCGAACTGTCCACCAAATGTTCGTTTTGTTACACCTATATATCATGTCAATATCACTGGTGATGGAAAAATTTGTCATCAAATTCTTGGTCGATGCTGGTGTTCGCTGACGAAGATGAGTGCGATCTTTGAAAATATATTTGATCTTCTCAAGAAGCCGAACTTTGATGATGCCATATCTGTTGAAAAGGCTCATTTATATAGAGAAAATCCAGATGACTATAGGAGACAAGCAGAAGCTCATTCAAAGAAGTATGCGAAAAATGATGTCAAAAAGCTGAAATGTGAATATCGATTGGAAGATGCTGATGGTCAAATGGACGAATCGCCATAATAAAGACACCATTCAAAACTGAATATTCATTAACCTATAGTATCTTTTTCTCGAATACGACGGGGAAAAGTTCGTTATATTCGTCATAATGAACATTAATGGTCCTTTTCTCTTAAGTTATATGATATCAAATCAAGAGTGCCTAAATGAACATTGAGTGTATGAACTAGAATGAACTAGAAACGTTGTTTTATAATGTGTACGTTTTAAATTACATGTTAAAAATGCTGTGACATAAATGAGATCACAGTCAGATATATGTATTGTACAGGATGGCCCAAAAGTCATCGGGCGGTCTTTGATTGCGAATAACTTTGATGCCTGGCATCTGTTTGTTTCTAAATCAGGATTTATATCGAACAAAGCTTTATTCAATGAAGTACAGATGAAGTGCGCCCACTACTGATACACTGCAACCATAAAAGTTGCTTTCTCAAGGAATAATTGGTTTTTAAACAAGTAGTTTTACTCTCAAAAAATTATAAAGTAGCCTATGAGGTAGTCCGTAAAATTCTCTATCGAATGAGGTATTGCTCGTTTTTGTACGTTGACCGGTTATTGGATAAACTCGGCTTTATTACCGTTGAGTACCACTAATTCATGATAACTAGTATTAATCAGTCATACAAAAGGGGGAAAGAATACAAAGTTTTTATTTTTTTGTTCAAGTTATGTTCGCTGAACATTTCTCTATCATTCGCGTCTGAATTAGATTTTTATGATGAAAAGCCATCGAACAGGAAATGTTTTAAAAGAAGATGCGATGTTCGAAATCTGACATGAATTTTTATAGTAATTAATTTTTTTCTCAGTCATACAATGCCTGGAAACCGAGAAAACTTCAGTATATATGTTTCGAGGTGTGCTCTATAAACTTGTACTTTCTATTCTAAAATCTAGCTATCGAAGAGCAGATAAACGATCTACAAAGTTTTTCATGAAATAATAGAAATTTCAATGTTGGATAACAAGCGTCTTTCGTTGTACCATGCTTATAATATGAAAAAGAATCTACAGAAACATCTACAGAAATAGCAATTATTAAATAACTAACTATTTTCTTTCGTCATTAGATAGAATAGAGTGCAGGATATTTACTCTTCAAACTATGGAAAATTTTTGTATGTATTAGTCAAAATTGTCTGTCCTTCGACATTACAACAGAGTGATCAATTATTTTCAAGCTTTTTTTCTTTTTTAAAAATATTATTTGTAATAAGTATGGATGAAAACGAAAGAGATACACAACACAATTTAACTAAGAATGATTGAGCTTATAAGCCAATAAAAATTCAATAGCATTCCAAATGCTTACTATTGAAAGAAACATCTTTCTCATTATAATCTATTGATTATCTTCAATTAATTATTAGAAATTATTTTTGAAAACTTGATAGATATTTATCTAGAGAACATAATCTACTTAAACAACAGAATTATTGAATACCAATATATTTATTTTTTGCGTGACGGATGTATAAACATTTAGTCATGTGGCAGTGTGACGGATGTACATACAAATAATCATGTGGGAGTGTGCAGACATGGGCAAGTCCGGTACTTTTCCAGTCCCAGTCCAGTCCCAGTCCTAATTCAAGCCTAATTCATAAGAGAAAAGTTACATTTGAGTAAAGTAAGACATGAGAGGATTTTTCTCGTCATTCTTGCCCGATGTGGTCGTATAGGAAAACCAGATTGAGAGAATACTCTTTCAACCGGAGCTGAAGTGCTGGGCACACATAGTATCTTTGTAGCTAGTGTGCTCAACATCGGGTACAGAGAAGATTGCTTGAAAATTAAACTACTGTCTGTATCCTCTTCTTTCAAATAAAGTAAAATTTCCTCAGCAGTATCATTGTTTGATACTGCTATAGAAGTTTTTTGTTTTTTGCGAAATCTTGCGTATAAGCTTTATTTTAAAGCTTATAAAGCTTATACGCAAGGAAAACATTAGAAAATTATGTATTTTTGCCGCGCTGCACCAAATTAGGTAAAAATTGGGCGCTATGTGCAAAATTTTTCGGTGAATCCGACAGCGGGTTCATTATAATTATACTTTGACTTCTTTTCTGGTGTCGACATAATCTACGTGATTTTTGCCTAAATTTTATTTTTCTCATTGGCGCTTTTTTTTCAACCAATGAGAAAAATAAAAT